CAGTTGTCCACAGAAAATACACATCTTGCATTTGGATAAAGAAGAAAAATGATTTGATGTGGTCAGGACTCCGTGGCTGTTTGTCCCTTTTTCCTTCCACTATGTCCACAGCATCAAGGAAAGTCTCTGAAAGGAGTCTTGTTTAGTTGGATATCTAAGATTGGTAAACATCTTTTGTAATACAGCCCCAGCTTATCCTTTCAGTCATAATTATAATCCTCAAATTCAATTCCCAGCACAGCATCCTGGTTTTAACTCTGAGAGAGTGGGGGAGGTAAAAGGCAGCTTGTGGAAGATTTTCTCTTTTGGAAGCTGCAAAGGCAGAGCTGTGTGGTCCCCCACAAAGCTGGGTAGGCTTTCACCAGGCAAGGAGCCCTGCAGGGAGGAGCTCGCCCATGGCAGCTCACTGTACCCTGCTTTAAGCACCGCTAATGACACCCCCGGGCTCCACCGAGTCTCTGATCAGCAGAGGCCTGCGTAATCCTAATGCTCAGGTGTACACCTTGGAAGATTAATCACGTCTTTGCCTCTCATTTCTTTCAGCAAATTCAGTACCTAACAGAGCTGAGCCTCAAGCTCACATTTAATGATGCGAAGGCTTAATGGGACTCCCAAGGAGCTCCAGCAGGTCAGGGATATTTTTTTTGTGACAAATGCTGATATTGCTTAGTGTTAAGGCATTAGATACTTTGGAAATATCTAGAGCTTAGCTAAGGACATAAAGTAGAGCCAGTATCCTGGTTGGATAATGTTGCCTATGTGTGTACTGCACTGCTAACATCACAGCCCAAGAACACCCAATGGTTCTGATTATCAAAACAGTGTATAGTGCCAGCAGGGAGGGAACACACTAAAGTGGCAGGAATCATGCTGTCTGAACATTTTCATCAAGATTTGCACACACTGTCTCAGAGAGACATGTATGTCTAAACACATTAATTACAGCACTGTTTGTAAAGGCAAAATTGCAAACATCCTTAATGCTGAGTAATAGGAAAATAGTTAAATAAACTGAGACAGGCTTATGATGCAAAATCAAAAAGAAAGAGGTAGATTTATGTGTAATGACATGGAAATATATCCGTGGTGTATTAAGTTTCCACCACGTCTGTCAGTTTATTGTATTTTGGTGGTTTATGTTTTGCTGTAATTCTGGAAGCTATACTATTGCTATTTCAAGTATCAGTAGGGCCACCTGTAGTGGACAGGTTTCAGTGGAACCCCCAGAATAAAATGGACTAAGGAGAAAGACCTGGTGATTTACTTCCTAAAATCAGGCAATAAAAGCTCTATGGATCTCAACAGAATATTGTACAATACTTCAACTTGCTTACTTTGTTGTTTCATTTAACTTTTTATTGTGATTTGGGTGAAATTTTATAAAGCAGATTTGTTTCACATTCAAGAGTTCATATACATTTTGTTTTATGTCACTGTTTACAATCCCCACAGTATAACAGGTCTCTTCCCACTTCTTCCCTGTGGTCACCATTATCCTCTGTTTTTCTTGCCTATGCATTCCTGCATCCTTAGCTTTCTCCCTATGCAAATGTTGCCCTTTTGATCTCCCTTGGTTGATCTAAAGAGTGCATCTCCGGTGTAGTTTTTCAATTTACAGGCCTGTCTATTTTTTGGTTAAGAGTTAACCCATGGGAATGAGTCCAATTCCAGGCCTGAAGGATGACTAGGGGCCATAGTCTTTGGGGTTTCACCAGTCTTGATCCAACCAATAATCCTGGTCTTTTTTATATATTTAAATTTTGTTCCATACGTTTTCTCCCAGTCTATCTAGGATCTCCAGTTTTGATCCCTTTCGAAGTGGTTGGCATTACCAGCTAGGCACCATCTAGTTATTCTGGTCTCAGGGTCATATAGGCTGAGGTTCTCATGGTCTAGTAGTCCTTTGAACTAATTGTTTCCATGCATCTTTGATTTTCTTCCCTCTTCTTTGCTCTGGGACTTCTGGTAGAGTAGTGCCACTTGACTGCTATCCAGAAAGCTGGCAGTTCAAACCCACCAGCCACTCCTCAGAAGGAAGGGTGGGCAATCTACTTCCTTAGTGATACCACCTTGGACACCCAAGGAGGGGTTGCTATGAGTCGGGTCCGACTTGATGGCACATAACAACAACAACAACTTCTTTGCTCTGGATGAGGAGAGACCAATAGTTACATTTTAGATGGCTGCTCACAAGCTTTTAAGACCCGAATTGCTGCTCACCAAAGTAGGACACAGAACAATGTTTTTGTGTACTATGTTTTGCCAATGGAGCTTGATGTCCCCTGAGACCATGTTCCCGAACTTGCAGGCCAAGTCAACTCACTCACTTTGTATGCATCATCAGAAAGGATCAATCACTGGAGAAAGACATCATTCTTGGTAAAGTAGAGGACCAGCAATGGCAAGGGAAGCCCTCAATGAGGTGGATTAACACAAAGGCTACAGCAGTAGACTCATGCATGCCAATCATGAAGATTGTGCAGGACCAGACAATGTTTTGTTCTGTTATACTTGGGATCACCATGAGCTAGAGCTGACGTGATGATAACTAACAACAACAAAAACAAAAACCTGTTTATTTAAAATACAAAAGTAGAAACTCAGCAACAGCATGAGGCCATTTATCATGAAACAAAATCTACAAAGCAAAAGCAAGCACTTCTGGATATAAAGATATGTACACAAACTCATAGGAAAGGATCTATAAAGACATACACCAAATTGATAAATGTGGAATTTCTCTAGATAAAAGTGGGGTTGGGTAGAGGATGGGCAGGGAGAATTTAGTTTTGTCTGTATTCCTTGAATTTTCATTTTACAATGAGTATTTGTTCATATAAAATCAACCAAACCAAACGCACTGCCGTCAGTCAGATCCAACTCATAGCGACCCCTCCTTGGCATTTGATTGCTAACCAGAAGGGTGGTGGTTCAAACCCACCAGCTGCTCCATGGAAGAAAGATGAGGCAATCTACTTCTGTAAAGATTTACCACCTTGGAAACCCAATCGGGGTCACTATGAGTCAGAATTGACTCTATGACAGTGGGTTTGGTTTGATTTGGTGAATGCACTAAATCCCACTGAATTGCTCACTTTTAAGTGGTTAATTTTATGTTACATGTATTTCCCTTAAATAAAAATATTTATAATAGCTTTGTTTGTAAGAGTAAAAGCCTAGAACCCTCCTAAATATTCACAACTAATCAGTGGCAGTAAAATGGAGTAGGATGGATTTGAAGTCGTGTAAAATCGACTTAGTGACTTCTTAGTTGGGCAGAGAAGAGTCAGTGATGACCAAGAGTTTCTCACCCGTGCAATAGTATGATTTAATCATTAATTCAGATATAGAATGAAGAAAGAACAAATAAGGAGGGAAAGTTTAGCATAAGGTGTTTGTGGATTATCTAGATAGAGATAGCCAGTGAATATGACCTATTCTGATGCTTGTGTGGAAAAAAAATGAATTAATTGGGGTAGGAGGAGGGGATGAGAATGGGGTGATTGTTAAGAGAAGGAAACAAAAAGGAAAGATGACTAAAAAGAAGATGAAAAAGTGAATAGTAATAAGTCTAAAGTAAAAGAGTCAGTCAGGCCTGTGTGCTTCACAAACAAGGATCCTGAGACTTGAAAAATTACATAGCTGATGTGGCTAAAGCTAACCAGCTTTTAGGTTGCTTGAAGTAGGATTTGAACTCAGGTCCATCTCATTGCAAAGTCAATATTCATTAAGCCAAAATGCCCCTGCTATCATAATATGTGATTAACAAAAAGTCATCTAATATACTTTAGCTAATTTAAAATGGTCGAGGTGACAAAATTCCATGAAAAGTGAAAAATGCCAAACACCTGGGTTTGACAACTTCCTATAATGCCTATCCATATATAAAAAGGGATAATAGTACTAACACACATTGTTGTTGTGGTGGTGGTGGTTATGTACTGTCGAGTTGGACCAAACTCATAGCGACCCCTCCTTGGGTTTCCAAGGTGGTATCTCTACCGAAGTAGATTGCCCAACCTTCCTTCCAAGGAGTGGCTGGTGGGTTTGAACCACCAGCCTTCTGGTTAGCAGTCAAGTGCCTTAGGCACTATGCTACCAGAGCTCCTTAATGTTGTTGTTGTTGTTATGTGCCGTCGAGTCGGCCCCGACTCATAGCGACCCCTCCTTGGGTTTCCAAGGCAGTACCACTACAGAAGTAGGATTGCCCAACCTTCCTTCCGAGGAGTGGCTGGTGGGGTTGAACCGCCAGCCGTCTGGTTAGCAGGCAAGTGACTTAGCCACTATGCTACCAGAGCTCCTTAATACACATTACTAATTACTAATACACATATTAATGTATGGGTTAGGTTCCCTGTAAACTGAATCTCATCTAATTTTCCAATATTATATCTCTATTTCACAGATGAGAAAACAGGTGCAGAGAGATTAAGTGGTTTGCCTTAGTTTACAGAGCAGTTAGGTGAGAAAGGTCACATAGAAATTCATACCTAAGGACTCTTCATAATTTTTTTTTTTTTTCATTGTGCCATAATGTTTTCCTTTAGTGGTTATAGTATCTACTTACCAACCTGAGAAGGTTGCTCTGAGTTTCACCTGAAGAATTCATGGGGCCCAGTAATCTACCTTCTTAAACAACATCCCGATGATTCTGATGTGCATGGGCCATGAACTACACTTTGAAAAAGACACTGTCTTGTGTGTGTTGAGAATGATAAACCATGAAAGCCCATATAAATGTAATGTTAAATACTACTGTTGATTGCTATGAGCTTTTCATGGATGAAGCAGATCAATTTTAATTTCTAAAAACCCAAATGAACATCTATTTACTTGTGTTTATATTTGTTTGTTTTTTTGTTGCCTCCATGAGTGTAAATGGAGTAAGTTTTCCTACTCAGTGACATAAGGTTTGGCCAGCCCTCTGGGCAGTTCATTCCCCCCAAGAACTGATGGCTTTTCTAGGAGCCACAATTTACAGGCTTCTTTTCATTTCCTAGGCATCAGCAATAAACGGCTTGGTGTCTGTGGCTGGATCCTATTTTTCCTTTCCTTCCTGTTGATGATCATTACCTTCCCCATCTCCATATGGATGTGCTTGAAGGTAATACCTTGGGAAATAAATTGGGGCTTTCCCTATGAGCTGATGAGCCATTAAAACTAAATGTTCTCCCTTAATCTCTTAGATCATTAAGGAGTACGAACGTGCTGTGGTATTCCGACTGGGACGCATCCAAGCTAACAAAGCCAAAGGACCAGGTATGACACCATGGCTGCCTTGACAAAGATTCATGGGCATCTATTAACTGTGATTACTTCCACCATACTTTCTCCTAGTGGTGCCTATTGAGAATCAAAGAAAAATCACAGGAAGCAGGAGCTGCCTTTATATATAACAGAACCAGCAAACCAGTTGCCATTGACTCAATTCCTTCTCATGGTGACTCCATGTGTGTCAGAGAATGGTGCTCTATAGGGTTTTCAATCTTTAGCAAGCACTATAAGTGGAATTTAAGGAGCTCTACCCACCAGCCACTCCTCGGAAGGAAGGTTGGGCAATCCTACTTCCGTAGTGATACTGCCTCGGAAACCCAAGGAGGGGTCGCTATGAGTCGGGGCCGACTCGACGGCACATAACAACAACAACAACAACTGGTAGTATAGTGCCTAAGGCACCTGACTGCTGATCAGAAGGCTGGCAGTTCAAACCCACTAGCCATTCCTCGGAAGGAAGGAGTTGGGCAATCTACTTCTGTATGATACTGTCTTGGAAACCCAAGGAGGGGTCGCTATGAGTCAGGGCCGACTCGATGGCAAAATAACAACAACAACAACAACAATAACATAAGTGGAATTTTACTTAGACTGGCAACATAATCAATTTATCATATTTTAGAAGATGGAATATCTTTAGATGCTAACCAAATATATCCCAATTTGCTGCCCAAATGCACTGCAATTCTAATGTGACAAAGCATGGTGGTTCCTTTATAAAGGTGTCCACACTGTATTCCTTTCCAAAATATTCTATCTGCTGTTCTATTGTTAGACTCCTTTAAAGGCTTTAAAGGGGAGAACTGAGATATAACACTGACCTTGCTTCTTTTTTTTTTTATTATTAAAATATTTTGTTTTCAGTGACAGTTTACACAGCAAATTTAAGTTCTCATTTAACAATTTATATGCAATTTGTTCAGTTACATTGGTTACATTTTTCACAGGGTGTCAACTTTCTCATTATTTCTGTAATCTAGTTTTCCTGCCCTTTGCCTTCTTGTCTTTGCTTTTGGCTCCTTCTTAAATATTAGCATATGTACGTAGTACAAAATATAGTATAGAAAAGAATCCAGAGTACTTACCATATCTTTCAAGATCCCATATAATTTGGCCTCTGATTATTCCTGCAGAACTTCCCAACCATGGGCAAACATTTAGAATAGAGCAGGGATGGATGGTACATGCTGAGAGAAGACTACAATGAAAAGTACGATGACTAAAGGACAGATGAGCTGTGCAAGAAACTAGAAAACAACCTGGGAAAGAAAAGCCCACAAATAGAGTGTGGAGCCATTTTCTTAAGTAGATGAAAAGTCGATGGTTGATGTAGTGCTCTTTGTAAAAATAACATGGAGTCCCTGAATGGTGCAAATGGTTAATACACTTGACTGAAAAGTTGGATCACCTAGTCCACCCAGAGGTGCCTCAGAAAAAAGGTCTGGTGATGCTAAAGGGGCAGGGAGGCAGCACCTTTTGACCTCCTCCAACTACACAAGAGGAACACAGAATCACCATCAGCAGTCCAAGGCCTGTTACCATGACGCCAGACATGCTGCCTTCTTACCATCCTTGACACCAACTGCTCCTCCCACAGCACCCAACCGCCTCTCTGCTGGATTTGATAATTCACTGCAGTGGCCACACAAAACTCACAGATTATGGGGTTTATTAGGGAAGCAAGAGGCTACAATTCAAGTTCAGGAATATGCTCAGTCTCTCTCAGCCCACCGTCTCTCTCTCAGCCGGCAGTCTCTCTCAGTAGCACGTCTCTCTCTCAGCAGTGTCTTTCTCAGCCGGCAGTCAGAGAGAGACTCCTTCTGCCTTTAGGAGGGCTCCTTTTGAGCCTGGCAAAGTGGCAAAACCAACCAATCCCAACATCAGAATTCTACACATCTGAGAGAGAGCAAACTTCCCAGAAGATTGCTTTGTGCTGCTCTAACAGAAATACACCAGATGGATAACTTTAACAATCAGCTACTCAGTTGCTCATGGTAAAGTGAGATTTACAAAAACTATGGCTAGAAAAGCCATACCATGTAATTTATTACACCGCAGATGATCTACCAAAAAATCAGCCATTGAAAATCCTATAGAATGCAGTTCTTCTTTGACACACATGGAATCACCATGAGTCAGAGTTGACATGATGGTGACCTGTTAACTGGGGAAGAAAAGGGATTGTTTGGGTACTAAAAGCTCCTTAAAAGAAATATACTAATTTAATATTCATAACTTCTCTTACAATATATAAATTACTATTATTCGTCTGTCCTTTGTCTTACAAAAAATGGCAATTTCATGTGGCTAATTCTAATATTTTTTGAAGGAAGGCTGTTAAAAAACAGCATCTTTGAAGATACATGAAAAACAATGATTATTAGCTATATTTCTCTGATAGCACTAGATTTCTGTTCCCTATTGTGATGCAAACTGTTAATACACCTATTATGATCATTTTAGTATAACTGTTCTCTCTTCAGTTTGACTGTAGGATCTTTGGGGGCAGGAACTTTTTTATTTACTGTAACACTCTGTGCTTTGCATTCAACCATGCATACACATTCATATACCTGTTAACATGAAAAAGTAGAAAACCCAGAACAGAAGCTTGTGAAGGAGGTGTGGCCATTCCAAACAGTATAATTCTATTTGTCTTAGCCCATGAAGGATCTAAGAAATGGAGGATAAGAATTATTTATTAAAAAGTTATGAGTCTGTTAAAATGGAAGAGCTAGAATCATCCAACTGAAGTGAAACAGAACAAGGTTAACCCCTTGCCAGCTATGTTGCTTCCAGTGGGACTAAAATTATAAATTAAAATAAAATTAGATCAGGGGAAGTGGAATAGCCATGACTTGGTGGACTCGAAAGAAAAACATATCTCTTTTAAATGCATTTCTCAGGAGGTTTCAAACTAAATGTCCCAAGATAACTACTCTCGTCATACATGTCTCTGGGGTTAATGAGTTACCTCAGAACACCATAAGAGCCAGAGAGAAGTGATCTAAATTGCTGATGGAAAACCTTTCCACTTTTGTAAAGTACAAATTACTCTCTAATAATAAAAATATTGATAATAAGAGTTGTCACTTCTTGAGCACTTAATACGTACCTGCCACTGTGTTTAGTACTTTATTTCATAATCATGTTGAATCATCCTTAATCTTCTGTACAACCTTATTATTCCACTTAATGTGTATTAGATAACTGAAGGTCAGAAAAGTGAGGTCAATGTTCCAAGGTCGGGAGGCCAGTAGTGGTAGGTCTGGGATTTAACTCTTTCTAGTTCCAAGGATCATGGTCTTAATCAGAGTGACATGGCATGGAGTCCCTAGCTGAGTGAAACTGTTAACACACTTGACTGCTAACAAAAAGGTGAGAAGTTTTAGTCCACACAGAGGCTCCTTGGAAGAAAGGTCTGCTGATCAGATTCTGAAAAATCAGCCATTGAAAACCCTATGGAGCACAGTTCTACTCTGACATTCATGGGGTCACCTAACACTTCAACTGGTATCCTCACCTCAAGTTTTAGACAAAGTTTATAGAGACCAAAAGAAGGAAAACACTTCAGCAGTTTTTTCCCTGTGATGCTCAACCTAAAAAAAACCTCTTTCTAGTTTGAAAACAAAAACAACAACACACAACTTTTTGATAAATGAAAATGGATTGGTGTCCCCATCCTGTTGATATGCCTTGAGTTTTAATCTTTGTAACTCTTGCTGAAAAGAACATTCACCATGGTAATATTAAGTATTCACATAGTCTTCAAATGAATTTTCTTATACTCATCCTTCCCCACACACCTCTGTCTCCAAATACTTCCCAGCTCAGAGAGAAGTGGAAGTGTTTGAAATTGAGGAAATGCCACCATTGTATTTGAACTAGAACACAGCTATGCAGAAACTGTTACTTCTGTAATCCATTGCTTTCAAGAAATCTGTATCCCTGACAGATTTTCATTTGAATATCCCACAGTGCTATTCAAGATTACTGTGAGTATTAGCAGCCACTGATACTCAAGGTCAAGGTGCTCTGGTGGTATAATGTTTAAGGTATTTGACTGCTAACCAGAAGTTTGGCAGTTCAAACCCACCAACCACTCTGCATAAGGAAGACTGGGCAATCTGCTTCCATAAGGATTTACCACCTCAAAAACCCAAAGGGGGTCGCTATGGGTCAGAATCTACTCAATGGCAGTGAGTTTGGGTGTTTTTGGTTTTGATACTCAAGGTCAGGTCTATTGCTTCAATCTTTTATATAGGAGCTCTGGTGGCATAGTGCCTAAGGCATTTGATTGCTAACCAGAAGGCTGGCGGTTCAAACCCACCAGCCACTCCTCAGAAGGAAGACTGGGCAATCTATTTCCATAGAGATACTACCTCAGAAACCCAAGGAAGGGTCTCTATGAGTCAAGACCAACTCAATGACAGTGAGTTTAGTTTAATATGAGGATACCAATTTCCAAAATATCCATTTACATTAATGTCAAATTCAGTACTTGAATAGAAGTAGATTAAATTTATTTTAAAAATAAAATATAAAAATTAACTATTAAAGAGCTTTAGCTTCTTGCAAAAGATAAATTCCTAAGAAGTCACTGTTCTTCAGTCATTGACTAATAGGAAATTCCCAAATTACAGGTGTACACATTAAGAACATCTGAGAAATGTTTGTGTTGTTGTTGTTATTTGCTGTCGAGAAATGTTTGTAGCCTCATGAAAATGGTATTTCACATAGCTGCTGTTGTTGTTATGTGTCATGGAGTCAGACCCGACTCATGGCAATCCCTTCTCGGGTTTCTGAGATGGTATCACTGTGGAAGTAGATTGCCCAACCTTCCTTCCAAGGAGTGGCTGGTGGGTTTGAATCGCCAGCCTTTTCTGGTTAGCAGTCAAGTATCTTAGGCACTACACTAGGAGATGATTTATTATAGCTATTATTTTCAATGGGGTAAACTTTTAAATTGTATTTTCTTTATCGTAGGTTTGATCCTGGTCCTACCCTGTATAGATGTGTTTGTCAAAGTTGATCTCCGAACTGTTACTTGCAACATTCCACCACAAGAGGTGATGGTCCTTAAAGATCTGTTCCTAGAGTAAAACCTGTATCTTTCCCATTGCATGGACAATTTAAATTTTACATTATGTCTTTAAACTGTAAGAGGGAGGATGAAATGACTAGGCTTTGCTTTGACAGTAAGAATGGAAGCCAAGGGCAAGAGTTGAGTTAATGGAAGACTTGGAATAGCTGTGTGAGAGAAGGCATAAGGAAGGAGATCCAATGGCAGGGAGCTGGGAGGACAGGGGCAGAGCAGATACTTAGAGGATGATCCTGTTATCATGCGGAACCATATTCTTTATGGAGGAGTTTAATTTAATTTTGTGGAGGCCAGCAAGTGGTTATGATATCACCCTCCTCAACAGTGGGCTCAAATATAGCAACAATTGTGAAGATGGTCAGGATTGGGTGGCCTTTCTTTCTGTTGTACACAGGGTCTCTATGAGTTGGATCTGACTACTTGACAACATCTAACAACATCAACAACATCACCTTCTCAGGAACTTTTTTTTAGTAATATCTACTTTATTGACCTTTATTTTTGGCTTTAGAATTTTTATGTTTGGATGTAACAGAGTAGCTTGAGCATAGAGAAAGAGCAGAGGCTGCACAAGTGGTCCATCCACATTTGGATTTCAAATTACTTTTTCAGTGTTTGAAGTACTGTAAATAAATGATCAAAAACTATAATTGGAAAATAGGGAAGAGAAACAGGTTACTAATAATCATGCTGCCCTCTCATAACCAAAATGACTCAGGAAGAGAAAAGAAAATGTGAATAGGGCCCAGAATGTGCTAGGGCAAAGGTAATAAGGAGACATAAAATCAACATGTATGCACTAATAATGCCTGGACCCTGGTCCAGGAAAAGCATTATAGAAATAATGTCTCCATGCCACTGGAGGGAACTGTAGAGTACTGTGTTCAGAATTCAGTGCCAATCATAGCAGACCTTGGAATGCTTACTGACCTATGTGGGTGTTTTCTACAATAAACCGTTCTAGACTCTGCTCCCATGGTACTCCCAGAATCTCTTGTTTGCTTTAAAATACGTTCTTGCATTGCTCAGAATGGTTGATACCTAAGCCTTTTTGTAAAGCTGTCTGTTTTTCTTTACTTGGTCTCTGGTGCCATCTATGTTTTCTAAGCAGCTGCTGTTCATCAAATCTGATGAAATCTGAAAAGCAAAAATAATGTGTATCAGTCTTCTACCTCTCTGTAGAATGTAGAATTCCCAAAGGGTTATAGGGTTACATTTTATCATGGAAGTGCTCATCCTCACCATGCAAGACCTAGGGTCTCTGGAAGGGGTGTATGTCAGCATTTTACACAATTGCTGCAAAGGTTTTTCTGAGGTGAAGGTACAGGGGTGGGTATATACCACACATGTGTAGGAATTTTGTTATTAACTAGAAGAATATCATACTCAAGCCAAAACAGAATTTTCATGACAGCTATAGCATGAACTGTCATTTACAATTCCACAGTCTCCTCCTGTTTCCCCAGGAGGAGAGCTCATGGACTCAGCCTCCAACTCATGGTGATTCCATGTGCAGATGAATGAAATGCTGCCCAGTCCTGTGCCAGCCCCATGACTGGTTGCATATTGGACTATTGTAATCCATAGGGTTTTCACTGCTCCACAGGAGGAAGATGAAGCAATCTCCTTCTGTAAGTATTTACAGCTTTGGAAACCCAGTGGGGAGTCGCTATGACTCAAAATGGCTTGATGGAAGTGTTTTGGGTTCTTCTTAACCTGTCTTAGTCTGAAAGATCCACTGAAACCTGTTCAGCATTATAGTAGCACACATGCCTCCATTAATAGACAGATGGTAACTGCACATAAAGTGCATTGTCTGGGACTTGAACCTGAGCCTGCCAGGTAGAAGGCAAGTATTCTGCCACTGAACCACCATTGTTCCCCCAATCCAATTTTCGATTGTTGTTAAAATAATCAACATGTGACATCACTCTGTTCTTGTTCCACAGATCCTCACTAGAGACTCTGTGACTACTCAAGTCGATGGAGTTGTCTATTACAGGATCCATAGTGCTGTCTCGGCAGTGGCTAATGTCAATGATGTCCACCAAGCCACATTTCTGCTGGCTCAGACCACACTGAGAAATGTCTTAGGAACACAGACTTTGTCCCAAATCTTAGCTGGCCGAGAAGAGATCGCCCATAGCATCCAGGTAAAGACATGAAGAGCAACAAACCTGTTTCTTTAACTCACTTATTTTGATTATCAGTTCTTGGATGGTGTAACCAGTCAATATGCTTGGCTGTAACCAAAAGGTGGGAAGTTCAAGTACACCCAGAGGTGCCTCACAAGAAAGTCTTAGAAATTTACTTCCAAAAAATCAGCATTGAAAACCCTATGAAGCACAGTTCTATTCTGACACTGAGCTGACTTGATGAAAACAGATTTTTACTGTCTTCCGAAGTATCAGTAGTTAAAAGTGTGCCCATATCCCACACACAGACAACTATTCTAGATAGGTGGGCTTCAGTTTATTCTTTCCATTTCTTTATAATCACAAGCTATATATTTAATTATCTGGAAGAGGATAAGGAGCTAATGGAATTAAACACTTTATCCATTTTCTTTGGAATTTAAAATTATGAATTAATGTTGCACATTTTAGCCTTTTCTGAAAAGGTTAGAGAATAGATTTACTTTTAGCTTAGAGTACCCAAGAAGAAGTCCAGCCATTCCTCAGGCAGTCTGTATATTCTTACTTTCAGTGAAGTGTGAAAGTTAGAAGAGGATTCAATTGAGATATGCACTACCCTGACATTCCTGAAAATTCTTACATCATACCACTAACAGCAATAGTAATAGAAGTGGTAGTTATAATATTGATGAATATATATCAATGTCATCTATTATGATTGTTTGTAGACAATCACATTTCTGTATTTTCTTAATTAAATTTAGACTTAGAGCCTCCTTTCTATGTTAGGAGGGAAATTCAACTTTAATTCTTTTTAGCACCCCTCTAGTCCTTAACTTGGTGTGAAAGCCCCCAAGTTTTACGAGATACCATGAGTTCTGCATGACAATTCCCTATAATGTTAGTAAGAGCCCTGCTAGTTTGACCACTCTGATGATTTCTAGCCACTGGCAGGTTACCAGCATCTTGCACGGTTTCACCATCTCCTGCAGGGATCTCAGAAAAGGTTCTTCCATTTGGTAGCATGAAACTTCTGCCTACCTTCCTTCTGAGAAACTATTTTTCTGGTCTTATTGTCTCAAAGTATTCTTTCTCATCCTTTCTTTTCCAGGATCCCTAGTGTCTTAGCTATTTAGTGCTGCTATAATAGAAAAGCTCAAGTGGGTGGCTTTAACAAACAAATTTATTTTCTCAGAGTTTAAGAGGCTAGAATTCTGAATTTGAAGGGCCAGCTCTCGGTTGGCTCTGGAGGAAAGTCCTTATCTCTTTGAGCTTCACAGCTCTTGGCCATCTTCATGTGGCTTGGCATCTCGCTTCCTTCATGTCCCTGCTTCTTTTGCTTGATTTGTTCATTTCTTTTGTATTACAAACGAGATTGACTTAAGACACATACTAATCTTGTCTTACAACATAATGAAAATCTGTTCCCAAATGGGTTTATAACCACAGGCATAGAGGTTTGGATTTACAACACATATTTTTTGGGGACACAATTTAATCTGTATCATTCTACCTTTTGGCCTTCAAAAATTCGTGTCCTTGCCACATGCAGAACACATTCACCTCATCATATCATACCAAAAGTCTAACTGAACGCCAAGTCCAAATACTCATTTCTGAATCATCAAAATAAAATATGAGTGACATTTTTGGCGTATTCCATCCTGGGGCAAAATTCTCTTCATCTGTGAACCTGTAAAATCTAGATTATAATTTATCTGTTTCCAAAATACAATAGTAGAACAGGCACAAGGTAGACATTTCCATTACAAATGGAAGAATTTGGAGAGAAAGAAGGGATAATGGACACCAAGCAAGTCCAAAACCCAACAGAAAAATTTACACTAGTTCTCAAGACTTGAAAATAATCCTTTTTTCCCAAGACCATTTGGGCAATAATAGCCTGCCCTCCAGACTCTGAGGGTTGTCCATGCCCTCTGGATTCTGGATGAATGGCCCTCTGCCCTCGGCTTCAACTCCATCTTCCAGGCCCACTGGGATGGCAAGTCTGCTCCTTCAGCTTTGTATGGACCCACTCTCCCAGTCCAACTGAGTGGCAACTCCACCCAACTGGTCCTGGCAGCACCTGTTTTTTTTTTTTTTTTTTGCCTTTTGAGAATGGCAGCCCCATCCTCTCAGCTTTGGGCATTGGTTCTATCCCTCTGGCATTCATTAATGACAGCTCCACACTCTGGAACTGAGTTGGTAAAGATGAAGATCCAAGTCTTTGAAACCTAGAAAGCTGTGGACTCATTCTTTGAGATCCAAGAGACCACAGCCCAATCCTTTGAAACTAAGCCAGCCCTAATCCCCCTGTTCCTTCCAATAGTTCTGCTGATCCAGAGATTGTCCTTTTCTTTTCTTGGAGGACAAAAGATATAGCTCTTCTGGACTATTTCCTGCCTGTACATTTCCAAGAGGCAGACAGCATTCTTTCCTTTTGTTCTTTCTTGAGCCCCTGGAGTGTAAGCTGATGGGTTTTCTACTGTGGTAGTTGATTAGAGCCATCAGTCACAGGCTTAATCTCTTTAACAAAAGACTGTGTAATCACATCCTTAATGAAAGTTCTAGGATATGACCAGCATTTTCCAAACTTTAAGTTCTGTTTTCATTTTGTAATTCATTTATAAGTCCAGCTCTTTCCTCTCACATTTTACTATAAACAGCAAAAAGAAACCACATGACTCCTTTAAGATTTTGCTTAGAAATCACCTCAGATAGATCTCTGAGTTCCTCACTTACAAATTCTACCTTTCACCACATTTTAACATACTTCAGACGAGTTCTTTGCCATTGCATGAAAAGCATTGCCCTTCTTCCATTGTCCAATCACACGTTCATCATGTTCTTTTAAAGCCTCACCAGAAGCACAGTTAACATTCACATTTCTAAGAGCACTCTATTGCTGGTGCCATATATATTTGCTAAGATGATAGAGACTTTATCAAAATCTCTCCTCATTTCCTTCTAATTCCTCACCAGAATTGTCTGTGACATCCATAATTCTACCAACAGTCTCTTCATGGCAATCTAGGCTTTCACTGTTGTTGTTGTTGCTATGTGCCGTCGAGTTGGCCCTGACTCATAGCAACCCCTCCTTTCTTGGAAACTGGGTTTCCCAGGCAGTATCACTACAGAATTACTATTAGGTGCCTCAAAACTCTTTCAGCCTTTACCCATTATCCAATTCTAAAACCTCGTCCATATTTTAGGTATCTGTTAGAGCAACACTCCCCTCTTCTGGTACGAAATTCTGTCAGTTATTTAGGGCTGTTATAATAGAAATACCACAAGTGGATGGCTTTAACAAACAAATTTATTTTTAACAGAGTTTTAAAAAACAAAACAAAACAACTCACTGCCATCAAGTGGATTCTGTCTCATAGCGACCCCTCCTTGGGTTTCCAAGGTGGTATCTCTATAGAAGTCTTTTGTCCAGTCTTCCTTCCAAGAAATGGGTGGTGAGTTTGCACCACTAGTCTTCTTGTTAGCAGTCAAACGCCTTAGGCTCTACACCACCAGAGTTCCTACTCATAGGCATAGAGGTTAGGATTTTAAAAACATATTTTGGGAGGACATAATTCAATGCATAAATCTAATAAGATATCTTTAATGGGTTTAAAGACAAGAACATTCTCCATTTTAGGCTGCTTCTGCTCCTGAAAATATGCCTTACTACCTACCTATTTAAAGTTGACCACAGGGCAGGGGTTAAACAGAGTAAAAATTACCTGGTAGTAACATTTGTTGAATCATTGCTAAACACTGATATGTATCTTATTTATATTATTTCCAAACCTCTGAACAATCCTGAAAGGAAACCTTTCATGGGTGAGAAAATTGAGAATCAGAGAGGTTAAGTAACTGGTCCAAAGATTCAAAGCTGCAGTGGCAGATTCAGGATAAAAATCCAGGTCTGTCCATGCACTGCTGTCTGCCTGATACTAGTGAAAGCAAACTTGGAGTATCTGCTCAGCTCTAGATGAGTATCTAGCATATACTTCATTTGCAATGGTTTTGGGGCATAGGTCCTGCTGGAAGACTACCCCGCTAAAAGATCTCTCATTTTTTGTTCCTGAAAACTTTCGGGGTTATAATCCAGAAAGTGATCCTCAGGGTTACTACCTCCTATTCCCTTCCCAAACAAACATCATCTAAATAATATAAGAGGAGGAAAAGAAGAGGAATTTCTCTTACAATAAAAAGCACATCAGAAACTTATATCATGCCAGACAGGCTTCCATCAGAAGACAGGCTTCCAATGACTGTTCTTTTTTTGATTTGGAAACAGACCTTGCTTGATGATGCCACAGAGCTGTGGGGAATCCTGGTGGCCCGAGTGGAAATCAAAGATGTTCGGATTCCAGTGCAGTTGCAAAGATCCATGGCAGCCGAAGCTGAGGCCACACGAGAAGCCAGAGCCAAGGTAAGGGACCAGTCTACATATGGAGGGCAAGCCATCTGGCTTTGGAGCAGACAAGGGTAAAGCTGCAACAGAAGATCTAGGGCTCACAATTATTTTTATAAGGAGAAAAAAATTTGCTGTCGAACTGGTTCTGATTCATGACGGCCCCACGTGGTTTAGAGTACACCTGTGCTCCTTAGGGTTTTCAGTGGTTGTGATCATTCAGAAACTCATCGACAGGCCTTCCTTCTGAGCACTGCGAGGTAGATTTGAACATTTTGGTTAATAGCCAATTTTGGGCCACCCAGTGATTCCTTTTACTATAAAAGAGTTTATTTTTCACAGGTTTTACTGAGAATTTCCACCTGAATGGAAAAGCAATGAGGTTAGTAACAGCTGTCAGGGCAAGAGGACACTCAGTAGCATGCAATGTGGGTCCTAACACTGGCTCCACACCCAGTCTATGGAGAGATGAAGCAACAGTAACAGTAGTTCCCAGGCTTCCATTAGAAGAGGGACGGAGAGTCTCAGGGTGTGCAGAAACCTACATTTCTGTAAAGCTGGTGATTCTGATGTAGCAAAACTTGGAGTCTATCTTTTGAGAATAGTTGTTCTAGTGTTGTTACTGGACTAAAAGGTATGAATAAACACAATCCAGGTTAGAGTTACAAAGTTGAAGCACACCCCGGCCCCCAATAGTGTTGGATTTGTTTGATCTGTACCCTCTGTGTCTGGGTGGATGGGTTTCCTAAAGTAAACAGAAACCAATTTAGATTAGAAGCCTGTGTACCCTCTTTGGAACTTGAAATCCTGAGGAGATTTTTATTTGAATATTTAACTAGTACTACTCAGAATGACTGAGAATGCTGGCAGCCACTGATATTCAAGGTCAAAAATCTATTACTTGAATCTTTTATAGAGATACCTTTATATAAGGAGCTCTGGTGGTGCAGTGCCTAAGGCATTTGACTGCTAACCAGAAGGCTGATGGTTCAAACCCACCAGCCACTCCTCGGAAGGAAGGTTGGGCAATCCTACTTCCGTAGTGATA